TAGAAATCTCTCCAGCGTAGCACGTCTCCATGCCCTTCGGGAGGTTTCTGAAACACGGGCGCTGCCCGTGTTTTCTCCGGGACGTTAAACCTATACATACATACATACATAGATGTGGAATTTCGTGCAATAACCTTCTCAACATGCTGTTTTCATTTTCTTGATGTTTCTGTATGAACTAGAGAATGAATTAGTTAGCTAGGTCATTTGAATTGATTAATATAAGGAACTCACCATTGGATTTAGTAGGTTTCTCAGTGGATTCCACATTCGCAGGTTTGGGGGTTCCATATTCGCGGGTAGGGGGATAGGTGGGAGAAGATATGAGAATCAGGCAGGCAGGCAGACAGGCAGGGCTTCAAACATGTTGAATTCCATACACATTCTTAAGATCTACATGAGATCTTCAATCAGTGGATCTAAATGACCAATTATTATTCATATAAAATCATATAGGATTCTATTGGTTATGCCCAGGGCGCCGGTGCAGAATTCCATACACTAATTGAAACCACGCTAATTTTGCACCAACCTACGGACGAGAAATGTGATTTTTGTCGAGCTTTTAACATTTTTTTGTTGTTTTTCTAACATTACACAAATATTAACAAGTATTTCTCTTTATTCAGAGTCAGATAACAAACTGAATCTATTATTCACAACTTCAACTGCTATCATATTCTGCATATGTGTATCCCTTATTTTGTTTGAACAGAGGTTCTTGGTGACTTCTGTGATCTAATTTTTTGCCTCGCAGAAGATTCAGAGATAGCAGATTCAGAGAGTTGAGAATTCCTTCTTTTTTATTTATTGCTATCATTTACATCAGTAGAGACTGAGTTATTTGTCTGTACTGATGGCTTTCCTGATTTGGGAGCAAATATACATTCTTTTGAATTTGCAAAGTGAGGCTCTTTACAATTGGCAACCCATTGGAAGTTGAGACGTTGAAACCATTGGAAGTCGAACCCGCTGAACGAACCCGTTAACCCGTTGGACCCAAACCAGTGGGATGACACCATTTAAAAGTCAAACCCGCTGGACATGCCCGTTGAAGGTTATAGGGTTAGGGTTAAACTATCCAAGTTCTACATAGTGCGTGGTCCGACGCGCCCCCGTCCGATTTTCTCCGTCCCTGATTGGCCGCCCGTGCGTGCTCCCGCTCCCGCCTCCGCGTGCCCGCAGTGGGGCCCGGTCACAGTCGAGCTCCCTCTTCCCTTCCCTTCCGCGGCAGCCAGCCACCCCATTACTTCAAACTTTGCATGTAGGCCGTAGTGGATATGAAATACAACATATCCAAATCAAAAGCGATAATTCCGTCGGGAAGGGGTTACATTGTGGTGTCAAAGTCAATGAGTTGAGGTGCGATGTTTGATGGGGTAAGCCACCAACCCAACCAGACCCAACTAAATATATATATTTTCACCCAGGCAACGGAGCGGTGCAAAGCGGTGCAGGATCAACAAAGTAAATAAAAATAGCAAAACATATAAGAAAACTGAAAGGCTTCATTCTGGAGTGATTTTAAACACAGAAAAACAAACATTCACACCAGATCAGATCTGTCAAGTTTCACACAAAGACACTGAATGAAGGAAATATATATATATTCAATGCACAAGACAGACCCAGCATCGACATGGAACATCAATTATTTATCCACTGTGAATCATACCTCATTATCATATGCCGCCGGTGCAAGCACGCTGTGTGGCCAACAGAGATTGAACGGCATCTGAAAGGCAAGGCCCATCAGCTAAAGCATGCGGTGGTTCAGCAGATAAAGAAGAACATTGAACAGTGGGACAATGTGGCTCGAGATACTACACAGTTAACACTGCCCCACAATACTGAATGAACCAATCCCGGAACTACCCATTCAAGATGGCTACAGGTGCCAGCGGGATCCCCAGTGCCCAGTATGTGGCAGGGTAACATGAAACACCATGCGCAAAGCACTGGGCAGAACCAAGCACAGCTGGTCGCCATTATCCCAATCCGTGGCCGTACAGCGCCACAAAAAGCGTACGGCAGCACAGGGATGAAGTTGAACAGATCATGCCAAAAATGTGCAGTTCCCAGCAAATTATTTTGCATCCGCGCAAGGGG